AACATGGCCACATATGCGCAAGAGTCTGGGGGCTAGACTTGCCCTTGCTTATGAAAAATTCATAAAAATCATACAAATATATCATATAACTAGGGCCGGAGTTTAGCCTACACTTCATGTTTCTACTGTTCATCGACTGAGAGTGAACTAAATTCCCCCTTCCCATCACTCAAAGACCTATTTGGTTTAGGGGAATAAGTTGTGGAATATGGAGCTCTAAAAGGACACATAAAACTCACACGTCTTGCATTAATACTTCCACTATCAAAATCCACTAGTTTAACATCTTAGTCTGGCCTTAAATCGATATTATTCATAGATGAATTTGTTTAACTTATCCGCTGATTTGAACAGCGGCTTGTTCGGTATCAACTTTATATCAGAATATCTTCTTTAGCAAAACCAGGTCAAGTTTGTAATTATACTCTTAGCTCGTTTATTTCTATACATGTGAATAAGGTACCAGCACCTTTATCCAAATGCTTTACATGTAAAACATTTGCTGATAAGACAAAGTAATGTGCCAAAAAAAAAAAAAAAAACCTAACATTTCCGTCAATATTTCATTACATAGTACTACCTATTGGTATTTTTTTAATTAGAATTTTCTTGATGCTTTCCAAACAAGGATTTGAATGTTGTGAAAAGCTTGATTGCCTCCATATACTTGTATCATTCTTACTGTTACTGATATTTGACTTCACTTACATGCACCTCAACTTGTAAAATGTAAATATCTCTTAAACTGAACTGAAATGTGTTGACAACCTTTGCGAAATGATAACATTAATGTGATATTTGTTATGATACGTGAATGATTACATACATGAACATAGTATTAGTTTTTAATATCATGTGCTTGGATACTGTAATTTCATTGGTCTAGGAAGGCCATGTGTCTGGACAATAAAAATGCATGTCACACACTAAGGGCCCCCCAAAAAAGTCTCCGGTTTCTGGTATGCGCGCGCGTCGCCGTAGCCATGCGCGTCGGCAAAATGAAAAAGTTTTTTTCAATGAAAGATGATGTCTCAAAACCGCCAAACTCACTGGTTTGACTGGAATCCTGCTGCTGCACAATTTTAACGTGTTTTTAGATGGGGTTATGATCGAGAATAAGCTTTATGTGGCCTCTCTGGACTCCCATATATTTGCACTAAGTTCAGTAGGGCACCATTTGCAGTCATCAGCCGACATTTGAAGCAAAAAAGTCAGGTAAAAAAAAAAAAAAAGCCGCGTCGCCGCGCCACTTTTTGGGCAAGCTACATACCAGAAACCGGAGACCTTTTTTTATTGGCCTAAGGGTGATATCGCACTGCGTTCATTGCGCGCGTGTGGAACCTGCCGGCGCGCTAGCTTTGCGCAATGAGAACTGCAACGTCAAACGCTCAGTCTCATGTCCGGCAGGACATCAAAACCTTCACTTATCAAAGGTTACATCGCAGAGATTTAATTCATTTCTCAGACAGTAACTTACAACCATTTTTCTTTTTGAGTTATTGGCACGATATAACAATGTTATGCTAAGCTATGAGGTCCTCAAGTGTTGAAAAAAGTCATTATTCCACGTCACAGCAGTAAACACTTTTTAAATATCACACTTTTGTTTCCATGGATCGTTTTAAACCCCCTCTGGGGTGCATAGCACCCTCGGCTTCACCTCGGGTGCTATGCGTCCCTCGGGTGTTAAAAACGTCATATCCCATATCACAGCAGTCAACAACTGTAATAAGTTGGTGCTCTTGTTGTCAAATGACTGTACATTAGGATTGCTCAAAATAATAGAATATAGACCTTTCTATGCCAACCTGTGGTCGGCTCTGTTTGCCACCCATATGTTGGCACACTATGGAAGGTCAACATCGCAAAAATAAAGAATAGCTATTAATGTTTCCAAACATGTCATTCGATTGTACAAAATAAATAACAAACGGCTTAATTAAAAATTGCCTTTTAATGAGGATGCTAATACATATATGCAATTCTTGGCAAAATCTGTTGCCAATCACGGCTTAAATTTATACCCCCATGACAGCCTGCACAAAATGGCGCTCAATGTTAACAAACAAAATAAAGGTCCGTATACATGCATGTACACACAATGTGGCAATATTTATGACATTATCAATGTGCCAAGGATATCCGGGGACACAAAAGAAAAAAACGTTAAGAAATCGTTCATCAAGAATGGCATGGTAACCGCATCAGCTGGTTCATTAATGACAGCATGTAATTGGCTGCGATCCGCTGCCTCCCGGTACTCCGTACACACAAACAGTATGCCTTCCCTCACTCCGGTGTGCTATTTATAGACTGTCTGGACAAGATTAAGTTCATTGGCTACTGATGCTGGATGATACCACTGGCAAAGGGGGGGGGGGTATATAAAGGAGGTGTACGTGAAATCATTCAAAAAATAACAGTTGTCAATTTCGATGAAATATAAACCCTGGTTTATACTGCATGAGATCGATTAGAAAATTCATTATTTTTTTCATTAATTTGAAGTAATTGTTCTGAATACAAGAATTAGTTGTTAATGCCCCCCTGTATGGGATACTGCCCCCTCCCTACGAAATAAAGTAAACACATGCAGGAAGCAATTAATCTGGAGAACGATCGTTTTTCGTTAATGATTTCATCCGGTGAAAACAATTGGGGGGATTAATCATTGAAATAGACACAAAAAATTGAAAGAAAAATATAACAAAGCAAAGGCTAAAAATAGCTGTTGATTAATATCTGCATCAGAGGCGGGGGTTTTTTTTGGGGGGGGGGGAGGGGGGAGGGAGGATATACTGCTATAAACAGTTCTGTTCTGACGTGCACTGTACGCAGCATGGCAAATTCTCCTTGGCAGATTGAAATTAACTTGACAGTTCTCCCCCCCCCCCCCATAAACGCTGTGGGATGTTTGAACAATGGGGAAATTTTCGCACATACAATCCTATCAAGGGTCTTGACACATGCGGCGTTTGGGCAATTAGCTGTTCACACATTTGTATTAGGCATCTTGTAAAAACCCTTTTAAAGAAACTGTCGCAGATTTAACTGTCTGTGTCGCTATTTTTTTTTTTAGAGGACGGCGGAATTTCGATAAAATCAATTCTGCTCCGACCGTGTGTGGACTCGGTAATTGCAGAAAGCGCATTATTAAAAATTGATTGGTTGAAATGGAGAGTAGTCTGTGTGTGAAATTACCATTTATGGAACCGGCTAATATGCAGGGGTTTTTTTTGGCAGACTACCTAAAAAATGAGGTGTGATTGTAAAACAATATTGGTGGGCCTTACATTTTTATTGAAAATACTATGATTTAAAGGGAATATATACATCATTTGCAAACATCAAAAAACAAAACTACCAAATTGATATGAAATTCCTTACTGGACTGTGAGTGAATGACAGTCTAAAGCATCCTGTAAAATCATGGCACCTGGTGTGCTGACATTTTCAGGAAAATTGGTATTTTTGTAGCAATTTCCAATGCTGGTCGGCCGACCAGCGTTGGAAAAAAGCTGGCTTTTTTCAAATTTACAATATTTAGTTAGTCTGAATTATGTTTGCAATTGATTACACATATATGATGGATTGAAAAAAATTGCTCAGATCCAATCTAACAATTCCCCCAAAGGTTCCTTATTGATGGCCTTTTTTTCTTGAGTAGATTTAAGCTTCGTTATCTGGGATTTCTAAGGAAAATAACGGCAAAAGAATACAAATTCTTATTCCCTCACAAACATGTACCCATCAACATAAGCTGCTACAAAAACTCTAAATACATTACAACACTGTTCATGGCATTCACGAAGATTCAGTTTTAAAAGTATCCAAAAATTTCAGAAAAAAAAAAAAATCTTTAGTGTAACAGCGGGACAATTCAAAGAAATCTAAGGTGTTTGGAGAGAAAAGAGATGGCACGAACAAAAAAAAAAAGAGAAAAAAGAATGTCAGATAAACTGCTCTCTCTTCCTTTTCCATATGGAACGACCAAAACTACTTTTTTTTTCACAGCTCACAATATGTGCCGGCAGTTTAGCAGAGAGAGTGCGTAATGCAATATCCCCCAGAGTACAGCGTGATCCATATGTTTAATTGATGGCTCTGTTTTTTCTTCATGTCGGATGCTGGCAGCAGAAACCCGACAGCTGAGAAGAAACAGCTTAATGAATAACGAGATCTTTGGGACGAAAAAAAAAAAAATCCTCTTTGCACTTCCCTGGCGACATGCATATGCATGCATGGCGACAGAGTTACGTGCATCTATGCAAAGGAGGTTCAGCTTAACTGACTTCTTTTGACCACTTGAGGGCGCTATTCACATGCTTTCTATTACTGGTTTCTGCTGGGAAGTTTGGGTTAGTTTGGGTTGATTTTCTTCTCACTGTCTTGAAGATTCAAAATGGTGTTTGAGAGTAATTTAAAAAAAAGAAAAGGTACAGACCCTTTCCTTTTAAGAACCATCTTCGCGGTATTTTGTTATTTATTTAATTTCAGTAAGGCCAAACAATTGCTTCCAATTACATGCCTTTCAAAAATAGGGTCAGTTGGTTGGAAAATCTTTTTATTTTGTAAAATTATTTTGTGCTGATTGGATTGGGCGTGGGCGGAGAATTCAATCTGTGTATTATGCGCACTGCTATTGGTGGATGGAGCACTGTCCACCAATAGCAGTGCGCATAATAATGTCCACCAATAGCACTGCTATGGGCGGAGAATTCAATATGTGTATTCTGGGTCTTAATTATGCGCGCTGCTATTGGAGTCCAGCAGTTTCCAAATAGTCGACTAGAGAAGTCCACCCAACCTTCTTTCATGAAAAGTTAGTAGAACTATGGGAACAACAGGTCGCGCCCAAAGTTGCCCAAAGCTGACAGACACGATGCTGCCAACAAAAACGAATAATTGGGGTGTGACCAGCCCCCCCCCCCCCAACCGTCTAGCAACATCCATTAACAAATGTACTCAGTTGCAACAGTACACAAATGCATTATATTTACCTCATAAGTAGCGCAGCAGTTTCTTCTTGTCCAGCTTGAAGTAGGGACTCTTCTTCGATATCCGGTCGCCCCTGAGGTTGACCACGTGGGGGAGCAGGGCGGGGCGTCTGAGGAGGCACCCGTGACCCCCCGGGGTGTAGGCTCTGAGGCAGACCTCCACACCGTTGGCTGCTGTAACCGCAGCCCAACCTTGAGGGGTTTTAAGATTCAGAAAGGGAAAACTTAACTACTGACAGAGACTGTACTTAATTTCAGAATAATAATAATCATGGTAATGTGGTGCTTATACAGGGTGAGTAAAAAAAAAAACCCGAAACCCAAATGTCGGGACCATTGTTTTAGTGAAGTTCTACATGTAGCACTTTCAAAATCTAGGATATGAAAGCCCAATTCATAAGCTTTCTTTTAGTACAAGAATCATTCAAATCACTCATGTACTTTTTAAGTTACAGAGTTTTAAACACAATCACCGTTTTAAGGTTCTGTCCACTGATCACAAAAAATGTGTGCGTTCTTTCAACAAAGCAAAAACAATTCACACACATCCTTATGTGATTTTTCGTTTTGTTGAATGAACACTGAACTTTTTGTGATTCATGGACAGAACCCTAAAATGGCGGTTGTGTTAAAAACTTCGTAACTTGAAAATTACATGAGTGATTTGAATGATTCTTGTACTAAAAGAAAGCTTATGAATTGAGCTTTCATATCTTAGATTTTTAAAGTGCTACACGCAGAACTTCAATAAAACAATGGTCCCGACATTTGGGTTTTGTTTTCTTTTACTCACCCTGTATAGCGCTTTATACCAAAGGTCTCAAAGGGTTACACAATATTACCCCTGTTCACCAGGCCCAAAAGACAATTTTTTTCTGCAGCAGGTCAAGATCAGCGCAATCTGGTCTCTGCCTTCCCAGGTACCCATTCATACTCCTAGGTGGAGAAAGGCAATTGTTGCAAAGTCAGGCGACCGTGGCTAGGATAATTCCCCCCTCATCCGAAAATGGCAGTCCGATCTCAAAGTGATGTGACTAAAAGCCAGTAGCCCGATGCAGGGTCTACATGTACATGCAGTATACGCTGTGTTTTCTTTGGGATGGAAACCCGATGTTGGTGAGTAAAAACGCTGATTTTTCAAAAACTTGCTAGTCCAAGGGTCCAAAAACCATCGTTCCAAAATTTTAAATAGACTTGAAAGTGGACTTCTAGATGCAAGTAATTCATCTATCAAGACATAGCATATGGGCGTTCAAAAGTTTATAGTGTGTTTTCTTTGGGACGGAAATCCGATGTTGGTGAGTAAAAACTCTGATTTTTCAAAACATTGCTGGTCCAAGGGTCCAAATACCATCGTTCCAAAATTTTAAAGAAACTTGAAAGTGTACTTCTAGATGCAAGTAATTTGTCTAAGTCTATCACTAACCTGCCGAAGAGAAGAGCACATCAGCGCTGCTGCATTGCCAGCCTTGTCCAGTCACCATCATCTCTACTGGCTGCAAGGCAGGGAAGGTCTTCATGCGCTCTGGCTCACAGAGAGGTACCTAGATTCACAAGGAATTTTGTAACATTGAGTAGGAATACTGAATTGAGGAATTGAGAAATTGGGCGGTGGACTATGGGCGATGGACTTGTGTTGTGGTGAAGTTCCCCTCCGAGTCTTAAGCAATAGGACTTGCAGTCCATGGCAGTCCAAAACTGTGAAAATCAACTCAAACATTCTGCTCGAGCATGCTTCACCTCACGTGGAAAGCAGTGCTCACTTTTGCGCCAATATTCACATGAAGTTGACCCATTCGTTACAGGTCAATTGGACTATCTGCTGAGAGAAATTTTGAGGCTACGTTCCGACTATCACAGCACTGAGCTTGTGAAGTGCCAAACCCAATATTTAAAATCTATAACAACTTGATGCCAAAATTCCATTAAAAAACACTTATTAATTCCACTGTAGTCCCTGCCGTGTAGTCAGAGAATTCAACACAAATATATACAGTCAGGGAACTAGACAATCAATGGCGAAGTTATTTACCATCAGTCGATTCTTGTTGACCAAGTTTTGATAATATTCATCCGCTTCGACTGTCTTGGCCAGTTTCATCGGTAGGTCTTTGGATGCGAAGATTGTGAAGAAGGCAGCCATTCGGCCCTATTAAGAAAAAAAGGAATACGCATGGAAATTCAATTAATTCAATTCAACAAGACATTGATTTCAAAACGAGCAGGAGTGAAGGACAAATGAAGAAAGCTACAAACTCATATAACCACTGAGATTATTCATCACTCATCTTCCACCAAACATGGAATTTGTTTTGGCCAGCAATTGCATAAACACTGTGATATTATCCCACACTGCATAACCTATATTGCATCTTTGCTGCTTGTTAAAACCCTAACCCTGCTAGACGCAACACAGTGCATCAGGTGGAAAAGAACTGGTGCACTTTGATGCATTCAGCTACCAATACCAGTGCATGAATGGCCAGCTCTGAAGCAATGAGAGCTAAGTCCCATTGAACAATGCCACAGTTGTATCCTGCTGTGTGCGCTGACCACAGCCTCTGAGGCAGTGTGGCCTTGAGACTTTTCCCCTGATGAATCTTGCTACATTTGGCAGGCTTGTCACTTAGTAAAGTGTTGCATGTTGCTACATTTGGCAGGGTTCTAGCAAACATACCCTGGAGGGTTAGGGTTAACGCCATACTCCACGCAAAGCCAATTGCAAAGAGAATTCAATGCCACAAAAGATTCAATTTTTGTGATTTGGCAGCACAAGTTCCTGCGGCACAAATTCATGTGTCACAAAAATGTGTGTTCGTGTCTGCAGTCACGCCGAGTTTGAACCAACCGTTGTCTTAATAGACCTTTTTATTGGACAGTCTGCCAATATTTGCTGAAGATTAACATGAAAAATGTAAATCAAAATGCACAGGAAAATCAGGAAAACAAGTAAGTCCATAAAGAACAATCGTCCTTCTCTTATCATCGCTAGAGGGCAGCATTATGCACAAATGTGAAAAAGCAATCTCACCTCCAAATAATCCAATCTGCCCATGCCACCCAGGAAAATGGTGTTCCCCGGCTTGAGAACGACGGTCCTGGGAAGAATGACCGTCTTGGGCACCACAAGCTTCAACTCCTCCGACGTCAACTTGGTCAAAATCTGTGATTGCAAAGAATTAAACAGGTGATCTCCAACGATTTCCGTTGTTAACAGGCATGCCACTGGAACTTTAGAAAAAACAAGGAAATTCAAAATCATTAAACCACACCAGACGTTGTACAGTGTTTTTCAATTTGTAATGGCATTCATGAGAAGTAAAAACGAGGAAATCAGCAGATCCAAGGAAAAGTTGCATGCCTGTGGCGACGAACGTCCTAAATCCTGGACAGCAATACTGTTACTGTCGAGGCCGAAATGAGACGCAGATAAAGGAATTAGCAACATCAGTTTGTCAAGCATTGTTTACATGGGCCCTTTCCTATGGACGCAATGTGGGGACAAGAGCCACCAAGCTACCCTAGGAAAGGTCACATGTAAACAAAGCGTGACATCATTTTGTCTCGGGTATATTCCTTCACGAAGTCAGGATGCACTTACAGTACAAGCTGTGGCTGAGCATATCCACTATTAGGAACAATGTAGTAAACTATCAGAAATCTTCCTGAGAAATTTCCAAAAATTTCATGAGAACTATTTTCACTTTAACAAGGTTGCTGGAAAGTCAAGAGGTGGTTGCAGCTCAGCCAGTATGCCTCTGTACTGATGACGTCACACTTTGTTTACATGTGCACTTTCCTATGGAGCCAGTGGGGGCCCACGGTCCACTGAGCACCATAGGAAAGCACACACGTAAACAAAGCGTGACGTCATCAGTACAGAGGCTTATTGTCATAGTCTGGAGAGGTGTGTAATATTCACACTGCATAAACACTAAAAAAGGCCACCATAGCCAGTCAGTCGATGAACACAACTTAGATACACAGCACAAGATGTACATATGCCAAACTCGCAAAAAACTTTTCCCTTCTGGGTCATTGTCAAATTCCCATTTTTCCCCCTATTGTTGGGTTTTTTTTTTCCTGAATTCCCTGGGTTTTCCCCAACTGGAAAAATGGAAACTCAATTTCAAGTTTTTTTCCATAATTTCCAGAGCGGCTGGGAGCCCTGTAGAATGACTTATAATGTAAATACATATGTACTTTACCTGTTGGTCGTGAATCATTCCTGGTGTGTCATAAAACCAGCGTCCTCGATCAAACTCTTCCGGTCTGAAGGGAAACGGTAGCTCCTCCTTCCCCGACTTCTTAGGCTTGGGGGACGGGAGTGGGGAAGGCCCCACCTTACCCACCGACAGGGCAAACGGATCACGACTGTCGTCTAATTCCTTTTCCTCAGGGGGGTCTTCCTTGATGACGATGTCATATGACCTTCCAACAGTCCCTGCAAATAAAAAAAATATTTCACGCGAATTTCAGTGCGAAGCTAATTTGTCAGGGTAGCAGCCAGCAGTAACACACACATCTATGGGAAATGGATTTTGGTTGCTTCCATAGGCATGTTATGTAGCCTTAGCCTCTGTTACGGATTGCAGGGGAGCGTGGGTGGGAAGAGTAGGGGTTGTGACACGTGATTGGAGGGTCAAGGGTTCGAATCTAGCTGCTGGCCTTGTGGTATGGCCTTAGGAAAGACACTTCGCCCCATTTCTGTTGGTGTTAGCTGGGAAGTAACCTGCAATCAATGGCATTCCATCCAACAAGAATACCAGTACTCCCTTCTTGCCAAGAGTGTGTGATCAGAAAATGGAAAAACCATTATCATGTTGCAGCCATTTGATTTTTCCCCATTCAGATCAATGTAACCAAAGCAAGACTGGAAGGAAAAATAGTCTGGTTCCTTTTTGCACAAAAACATTATCATTCAGTACTGTTATTGGATACAAGGACCATGACTAAAATGGTGGAAGCATGATAAAGAAGTATACAAATGTAGTTAAAATTCACCACAAAATCTCCAGTTCCAGGCTGCATGCTATACACTGCAATACGCAAAAAAAGTAAAGCAAATTTCAATACATCAATCATTGAAGTCTCTTTGCGATGTTTGCCATAACCCGGCCTTGCAAATTTGCCCTGCACTAAAAGTTGCCTGAAGTACACGCCGGCTTTATCACCCTTTTACCCTTTTTACACGTAAGACACCACTCACCTCTAACGTACGCCCGTTCATTCAATCTCTTTTCATCTGGTTTATTTTCCGTTGCCTTGCTCTTCTGTTCAGCTTTGGCCTGCTTCTTTTCCTCCGTAAGTCTGTCCATTCTCAGAGCCAGCTTTTCTGGCGTCGGCTTCACAATAGGAAACCTGTAACATACAACAGAAAAAGAAAACTAATCTTCTAAACTAATCTGCAATTTCTTTCACCTTGTTTTCCTGAATGTGTTTGTCATGTAAAGGTAATATAATTGGTGCGAAAGCAAGTGCAAAAACAAATTTTTGACATCACATCAAGTTTTCTCACTGCAAATTCGCTAAAGTTGAACGCATTTCAACTCCAGCAAATTTTACCTCGAATGCTTCATGACTTCAAAATCGCTTCGCATTTGCATTCTTGTGAACAATAAACCCGTCCTTTAAGCCAGGATATCTTTTTTTAGGAGTTTGTGTGGTCCTAAACAAAATTTTTGTGTCCCGAAAAGGGTCTCAGTGTTTTGAGCAGTATGGTCTGTCCATGTTCAGGAGGCAGTTAAGGGCATACTCTTCAAAACCTGAAGTTAACCGGTCCACACAAATTTAAATGGAAAAGAAATTCTCGTACATGGGTCTCACTGCCAAAGTTCCAAAACTGGACTTGTTTCATTTTGCTGAAAGCACCCTGTACCACCTCGGGCTGGTCTGGGACTGGCAGCGTAACGGGAACCAAGTAAAATCCGGTCTCAGCCCACGACTTTGGAGAAGTGTGCTTCCATTTTTTATGTACCTGAGTAAGTTGAGTGTGGTACCAGGCCAGCGTGAGATAGTTGCCTTGCTTATCAGCCATGATGCCTTCGCCTTGCAGTAGTCGGACTGAAGAAGCCGATTGAACAAGGTGGATTTACCAACGTTGGCAGTACCTGTCAGAGCAACAAATACACACTCAATTAAACATGTTTGGTCACATACCAATGCTTGGAACTTGCCAATCATGCAGCAGCATAAGGCCGGCCTCAGGTCGATCTGCGATTTGCCTGCGCTGCTACAGAACTAACCTTGGTCAAGGCATTCCTTGATAATGTCCGTGATGGTATCTGGCCGCTAAAAACATAAAAACAAGCCACACGCTAGGTTCTGTATGAAGCACTATCGATTAACACCTTGACCAAGGCTAGTTCAGTCGCAGGGCAAGTAAATTGCAGGTCGACCTGAGGCCGGCCGTAGACAACACTTGAGTGTAGCACTCAGACAGTGGCAGAAAAATAGAGTTGTAATCAAGAGACTACAAGTCATCACAAGTCAGTCACAAGTAAGTCACAAGTCATAAAGTTTCAAGCCAAGCGAAAGCTACTCAAGTGAACTGTGGAAAAGCACTCCTAAGATTTTTGGTGTTACTTGTGACCCAACTTGAGATTGACTTGTGATTTAAAGGTATTATACAACATTTGCTTTTGCTGTAATTTTCAGAAATGGATGGATTTGGGGGTTAGTATTTTATAGCAAATATTGTGACACTGACCTCTTTAAATTTTTTGCCCATAAATGCTAAAAAAACCAAGAAAAAAATGTTGTTCTTGTAGTCTGGTTCCCTGAACCTCCTTCAGATGAAACAGAAGAATTTATAGACATCAGGGAATCGTCAGACCAGGGAACCAGTCTAGCTAGCTTGCACCCAAATAAAATGTGGAGTAACTAAATTTGGTAAATTGGGGGCAGTATTTGAAAAAGTTTTTTTTTTTTTCCAACGCTTGTTGGCCAACCATTGTTGGAAATTGATAACAAAAATTCCACTTTTCTTGAAAATGACAACACACCAGGTGCCATGGTTTAACAGGATGCTTTGGACTGTCATTCACTAACAGTCCAGTAATGTACTTCATAATAATTTGGTTGTTTTGTTTTTTGATGTTTGCAAATGTTGTATATTACCTTTTATTTCCGTCAAATTGCAATCACAGTCAAGTGTCACACTGTTATCGTGAATAAACTTGAGTTTAGACATACCGAGCAAATACACATCGCGTGTTGTCCCCAACTTCTTCTGCAGAGCAGTGATCAGGTCTTCGATGCCAAACCCCGACTTGGCGCTGACGATGCAGACGTGCTTCACGCTATCTTCGTTGCAGACGCCCGCCTCCACGCACGCCTGCAACAGCTGGTTTGTGATGCGTCGGTCCCAGTCGGGGGAGTCCTTGGGCAGAAGATCGGCTTTGTTTCCTTAAATGGGATTTAGAAACACCAAAACGAAATAAACAAAGAGATACATGTACTTTGTACTTTGTATGCCTTTTCTACTTAAATCAAAGTATTACCACAATGAATCTACTCAATCTAGACTGGTCGAAGACCGGATCTGGATGTTGTTCCACTAATGCAGCCGGTCACGATTCCTACAAAGCTTGGTCAAGCCGTGGTGGCAGTATTGGGCTCAGTCAACAAAATGAGCTTACCTCACGCAAATATTCAAGCTAATTTGCAAATTATTTGATGATGATGATGTGTATTTATAAAGTGCACGTATCCACCAGTATTGGTGCTCAAGGCGCTACATCATTTTTTATCCTGCTCATAGGGCCAATGAAACATTCCAAATACCATCTCAGCTACCTGGAAGAGTATACAGTGCTGTGCTGCCATTTCGGCGCAAAGCAGCTAAAATCAGCTACATTAACCATCTTTGCCCTCACAGGTGCCCATTTACTCCTGGGTGGAGAGAAGCAATGAGTGACAAAGTACCTTGCCCAAGGGCACATGCACTGTAACCCCTGGATGGACTCGAACCCACAACCTGCAGAATTACCCGCAGACCACAAATTCAATGTTCCTGACCATGAGGCCATGGCACTCCACATACATTGTATTTCTCTCTGGATCCATGGTACAGTTGTTTGTTGTGATGAAGTCCAGTGTATTTTGAATGCCTAAGGGGGTTCAATGGTACCCATGGAAAAGCTAAGTGTCATTTGCCGTAAGGGATGCAACCTCCCCCTCCCCCCCCCCAAAAAAAAATCACATTCTGCAAATGTTATAATGATGGTCCCGACAAATTAAATAAGTTAACACTATGCTATTCCAAGAAGTATTTAGATATCCTTGAGGTCAGAGATGTGTTTTGTGTTCACATTTAGCTCTGAATCAGTTCTGAAATTTTTAAGCAGTTGTATACCCTAAAAACTGTATATTCTCAAAGGAGCCGAGATGGTCTTTAAGATTTTGATTGGATATTAGCGATGGTTAAAATTACATAGTACCTTCAGCACTTGCCAATATTGGCCGATATTTGCAATCTGCAAATTAACACAACACAATATATAAACATGTACTGGATTACTGTAGAAATAGCCAGACTGCACCTCAGTCTGATTCCCCAAATTCCCTTATTCTTACCCACTATAACCATGGGTTTCTTGTCCCCTACCATCCCCTTCAAATTTGGAATCAGACTACAAGGAAAGTCCAGCAAGTCTACCAGGACCACCACCAAAGCTTTGGTCCTCCGGATCGAAGTGATGATGTCTTTGTAATCGTTCTCTCCAACGCTGACGTCTAGCGCCATCTTGTGGTGGGTCAGGTACCAGCAGCGCTGGCAGACCGCCCTCTCCAGTCCACCACCTTCTAGGAGCTCCCGGTACTTCTCGCTGGGCAGGAAGCCCGGGTGCTTAGGGTCGTGGGCCTGGAATCGAGCTCCACATCCTGAACAGGAAATGTCTGTGCATGGCAGGTTTGGGTCAGCCGTGCCAAAGACCTTTTGAACTTTCTGTGCTTTGGTTCTGGTAGAGCTGGCACTGGTTGCCAGATGGACTGCCTTCATCGCTCTAATGATCTCCGGCTCAAGATCAGAGAGGTTGCGGTCACCGATGCTTAGCTCCTGTTTCCTCTCCGCAATGATGCGCTCCGCCTCCAACTTTGCCTTCAAGGATTTATCTTGTATCCTCTCAGCCACATTTCCTCCAAGTCTTGTCTCATTGATGAAAGTCAACTCCTGGTGGTCTCCCATGTCGTCTACTCTCTGGAATGCAGTCGCTGTCTCGTGGGGCTCAAAGTCAAGCAGAGACTGGATGCTGACATCTTTGTCTTCAGCTGCATCTTCAAACAGTCTTCCCAATTTTTTATCAAAATCTTCCAAGGCCGTCTTTGTCCTTGTCCCGTAAGACAGGTTGTCAAAGTAATCTTCTGGTAAGCTGGAGTCCATGTAAACAGGTTCTGTGCCTTTCTTTCTGGACTGGCTCCAAAGGCTAGGTCTCCTCCGTTTTTTACCATCATGCTCTTGGGAATGGACATCAGCTTCTTGCAAATTTCCAAAATACTGCCGATCAAATTCATGTCTGTCGTCAACATCTGCGACCTCGTCGGATGCTTCATCTGAATTCGCCTTTTCACTCTTCATTGATGGTTTTGACTGGTATTCTTTGTGTGCTGCATCCAGAAAGTACTGCCTGTCAAATTCATTTAGGCTCTCGGAGTCATTACCAATACCTGTACTATGATTTGAGGTTTCGGTTCCTTTGGATTCAGATCCGAGGCGTGAATGTGTAGCTGAAAGAACTTCACCTAATTCTTCGTCTGTGGGTAGAGATTCCTGAAGGGCTCCCTCTGGGCTGTGGATGTCAATTTGATCATGTTCAAGTTCAGAGTCGTTGCAAATATTTTCCATTTGACGAGGAGACGCCGACCCAAGTACCCGTCTCTGTTTAATTTTCCTCTGCCCAACTCGGACGACAGGATTTTCTTCCAACAGCCGACCCACTTTCGTTCTCCTAATCCTGAATTTGTTTTTAGCATCTCCGGAAAATCGGGCATCGCTAACAAAATCAACCGCTCGATAATTCACAGGATGGAAGGGCAGGAGAAGTTGACAGGCGTGTAAATTTGTGGCCCGATTGCCGTTCGCCACTGACCGCTTGGATGATTCCATCCGGCCTTGGCACCAATTACCACCGCGCGTGGGCGGAGACTTGACAGTCACCCACGGTTGAAAAGTCCGCAAGTGAACGCACCGGGCGCACAAGAAAGTACCCGCATAGGCACAGCACACACTACGCCGGACACTCGCGAACATGTCTCCACGTGATTTCCGAAGCCACTGTGACTGAACGCGACAACGGATCATTCTGAAACTGCTCAGGACTGATCACCATTCATTGATCTGGATTACGGACACAGTCTTCCAATAATAGGACTTGTTATTCTCGAATGCAACGATGTTTTCTTTTCACCGATTCTTCCCGATCACTCAGTCTTCTTGAGCGCGATTTAATTTCCACAACAAAATCGCACGTGCTGTACCACTTGCACTACCTCGTTCGATTTTCCAGAAGAATCAAATTTTATATTAGTCTTCCATTCCTTCAAAATAAGTTATTTTAATCCAAAATATTATTCTTAGTGTACAAATCCAGTGGATTATATTTTAGGATGCCAACCAAGTTCAAATTTATCTCAATCTGTAGTCGGCGATTTAATAAAACTTCGGATTCGGCGGCCAAGGATCCATTACCCATGAGCACTCTGTGTACGTGCGAGAAAAAGATGGCCGCGCCCACACGGGTTGTTTTGCTGGCATGCGGGTCCTTCAACCCCATCACAAACATGCATCTACGGATGTTTGGTAAGTAAAACATAGATTACCGTTTATAGAATATCTACTTGTTTGATTTGTTAAATTTGTGTTGTGATCTAGGCAGAGCGATGGCGGAAAATGTACTTTTTTCGTTACATTTCCTTGAGCTGGTAAATAATGCATGTTGATTTTGATGGACGTGCAATTTGCATGACCAGGCATGAATGACGTGCGCGTAGGACATGTAGGATGGGAAGCCCTAGTAGTGAGTAGTACTATACTATCGCGGTACTTATCACGTTTCTCGTTCGGAATAGTTTATATCCAGTAATCATTGTAAATTGACGTCGAATTCCGACGGTTTTGAAAATGCATGGCGTCTCTGATATTTACCAGACAGTTTCCCGGCCCCCCTAAACATGCTAAAATAGTCACAAGGCCAATCATGCCAGTGGGGTCAGGGAACCACACTAGCGCTTTAATCATCCACTGAGCGTGCGTCAACTTTGGATTAAAGCGCTAGTCCGGTTCCCTGGGCCTGACCCCATTGCCTTTTGGCCTTGTGAGTGTGACTATTTTTTTTACAGTGATTACTGGATAAAATTCGGCGATCTTGAAGTGTATAGGGCCCCTGTTTTGTTTTGATCAAATAAGAGTCAAAAATGTTTTTTATTGCTCAGAAATCACCTTTACAATCAAAAGCAGACTTGTTTCAATTTTAATGACACCCTTTTTGCAATTTTAAACAGATTCTTGGTTTAGTCAATCACGATTTTCCTGCGCGGTTTGTGCCTTGCGATTCAGCGTACCATGCGTGCTCACGGAACATTGCGCGGTGATTGCCATCTTTATTTTCGGGTTGCGTGTTGTCGCCGCACTGTCATCATCATGTTACCCCCAAATTTCCCACAAAAAAATCAAAACCCTGCCCTCTATTTATGACATACCTGTTTATTGAGAATGTCGCCAACTAGTTTGGTAGGCACGTGTGGTCTAGCGGTGCAGCACAGGATTCATGATCGTGAGGTTGTGGGTTCAAGCCCCATCGTGGACATGCGTGTTTAGCCCGACTGCGTCTGGCCGTACAGTACTATCGCAAGCTCTGTAGTACGGCCAGACGCTGAATGCTTCCAAAAAGACTGAAAGATGTAGCGATTTTGCTACATCTTTTGATCGAGATTATCTTTTCATCCAGGACTAAAATTTCCACAGTTAAGGTTCTTAGTCGTAGAGCAACTCATACCTTTTCGAAAAAACGTTCTTTGGTCTCAATATTTTCATCCATCTGGCCAAAAGACGACTTTCAGTCATCATCTTCCACAAATATCGTCCCGAAAATGCTCCCCCATGCGATTTCAAAATGGCGGCCGCGCTGTAACTCATGAATATGCATGAAAAGTCTGTGACGTATGACCTCGTGTTTTTGGACGTGCGTGCGGCGGCGCCGTACGTACATATCGCCGCGCGGATGTACGTGTGCATGCACGTACTGGGCTGTTGTCTACAAGTAATGTACATGTACGTACATGTACGTACGGCGCCGCCGCACGCACGTCCAAAAACACGAGGTCATACGTCACAGACTTTTCATGCATATTCATGAGTTACAGCGCGGCCGCCATTTTGAAATCGCATGGGGGAGCATTTTCGGGACGATATTTGTGGAAGATGATGACTGAAAGTCGTCTTTTGGCCAGATGGATGAAAATATTGTGACCAAAGAACGTTTTTTTCGAAAAGGTATGAGTTGCTCTACGACTAAGAACCTTAACTGTGGAAATTTTTGTCCTGGATGAAAAGATAATCTCGATCAAAAGATGTAGCAAAATCGCTACATCAGCGGCCAAAAAAATTCAGTCTTTTTGGAAGCATTCAGCGTCTGGCCGTACTACAGAGCTTGCGATAGTACTGTACGGCCAGACGCAGTCGGGCTAATGCGTGTTGTGCCCTTGAATAAGGCGCTTTACCTCAGTTACTCCCCTCAACCCAGGTGTTAAATGGGTACCGGCATTATTCAATGCTGGGAAGGTAACAGACTCGCTGTGGAGGAGGTGTGGCGATCCCCCCACAGCAGCATATGAGTCTGGTCCAATCGCTAATGAAAGAGAGATGGGCACTCCGTTCCGAACACAAGTTCGTCCCCCCTTACAATGTACGGTAACTCCTACGATGGAAAAGTCGTTCAATGGATGCTGCACAGTACACACGCATGCTCCGAGCCTCCGAGTGGTGCTCAATGTATCCTGGGAGGACCACGTAACCAATGACGTCCTATATGGCGATCTTCCTAGGGTCGGAGACTAAATTGAAGGCAAGCCTGGCGAATGCAGTTAGCAGGCCACTGTTGCCGGCATCCGGAGCAGAAAACCAACCCACGGACAAAGAAGGTGAGGAAGACAGCAGGGGTGCTGCGAAAGGACACCGGTGTAGAATTGACAGACGAACTGGCTGCCTTCATGCAGGACAGAATTACTTGGGAAAACCACCGGTATTCAACAACTCAACTCATTTGCCTGAGGGCAAATGAGTTGAGTTGTTGAATACCGGTAGCTTAATTTTGTGGAAAGAGGGCAGGGTTTTGATTTATGAATGGAACTTGTAAAACATTAGAGGTGTCCTAAGTTTTTTCCAGCAGTGGGGTCCGTGAAAAATGGTCTCAACTAAAATGGTCCTTTTCCCCCATTGTCCTAACCCAATTGAGACTAATTTTAACTCGCCTACATACATGTACACATTTACATGTAATACCATGCAGCAGTCATCACGAAGCAACGGTTCAACTTGAAACAGAACTACATCAACTAAAACATGAAAAAAACTTGATGATTTCAGTGGCTTTTCAGATTGAACCGTCACATCTCAGCCGTGTTGTGGCAAAATTTACAGCGCGCATCTGAAACTGGTATGGTAACCACATGTACAACCCACTGCATGGAGACATGTACTCAATGTGGTTGGTTATGGGTTACGTCTAGAATTGGGAGGCACCCTTTGTGCCTTCTAGCACTATCGTTTGTTGGATAGCTATGAGCTCAGGGGTGTGAGTGACCACTGATAAAAATAGCTGAAAACATCTGAAAAAGTGTAAAAAACTGATTTTTGGAAATCTCCTATACTTTTGTACACAGCAAGTGAGGAAAAAAAGCTGAAATCCAAAACAAAAAAGCTGAAATCAACTTTAAAGCTAAGATTTCACACCCCCGGAGCTATGGGATTTCAAGAGGGCCTTTGACAGACCAATTACTTCTATCTGGAACTCCACTTTCGGAAACACAAATCCACCCAAAAAATTGCCCAGGTTGATCGTAACTCTTTAAATTTTTCTGAGCAATGGTTTTTGGACTAAAGGACCGAATTTAATTGTAGAAATCTGAGTTTTTAATCACCACCATCGCATTTCCGATACGACGAAAACATGGGTCATTTAATGAGAGATAAAAAGCTGATTAAAAAATACTTTCATTCTACAATATTTATACTTTTTCTTTAAAATACAATATATGTGTAGTAAACATACAAAGATATCAATAAATCTGAAAATCAGCAAAAAAGTCACCCCGTTCGGTTTTTAAAAATTTTTCTCCACTATGCCCTGTGCCCAGTTCCATCTCATTTTGCATGAATGCCTCACATATGATATGTTATACAACCATAAATGTATTTGTATTTAAGCACTCTATGTGAATAGTAAAATAGTTGATTCTGTCATTTGATGAGAAACGTTAGTAGGGCCTACATGTACATGTACATGTACCGGTAGGAACATCAGATTTGACTGACATCCTGGAGAATGGAAGGAAGGAAGTACATGTACTGGTACCGGTACTGGTACAATAACCTTGGGGCTTGGGTGTCGCAGAACTTCCATTTACAGTGTAATTGTGCAGGGTGATTAAAAAAAACAACGAAACCCAAATGTTGGGACCATTGTTTTAGGAAAGTTCTGCATGTAGCATTTTCAAAATATAGGACATGAAAGCCCAATTCATAAGCTTTCTTTTAGTACAAGAATCATTCAAATCACTCATGTACTTTTCAAGTTACGGAATTTTAAACACAACCACTGTTTTAAGGTTCTGTCCATGGATCGCAAAAAAGTTCAGTGTTCTTTCAGCAAACGAAAACAAATCACATACATGTAGGGATGTGTGTAAATAGTTTTTGTTTTGCTGAAAGAACGCACACCTTTTTGGTGATCCGTGGACAGAACCTTAAAACGTACATGAGTGATTTGAATGATTCTTATACTAAAAGAAAGCTTATGAATTGGGCTTTCATATCCTAGATTATGAAAGTGCTACATGCAGAACTTCAATAAAACAATAGTCCCGACATTTGGGTTTCGTTTTTTTTTTACTCACCCTGTACATTGTCATGATTGTACATCTACATGTACATTGTAGATCAGGTTTGAAAGCTGGACTGTTTGTGTGCAAAAGAACCACTAAAATAAAAGCCCTTTTCAGAGGGAGGCAGACACTACAAACAGAAAAAAGTAGATTTTTTATTATTAGTAAGACATTATAATGTAAAATCCAAATTGAAGTTTAATTGATTTGGAGAAAAAAGGAGAATTTGTTGAAGAGCACACACTCGCCATCTCTGAAACAAGCCAGGCATGAATTGAAACTTTTCCTCGGATCCGCTGATTTCCTCATTTTTTACTTCGCAAAAACACTGTACAAAGTCTTGTGTGGTTTGGAATTCCCTTGTTTTTTTCTAAATTCCCAGTTGCATGCCTGACAAGCAAGAAGGCAAAACAACAACGCACAATACCTACATGTGCATGCATTTTGTAGAATAGTAATGTTCATACATGTACATGTACACATACCGCGGTACTTGTTCCGTAGTTGTGGGGACATACATGTACATGTACACTCGTCTGTACTACATGTAGGTATTTGTGGGGACTGAAAACGCTGTGGGGACAGCAGAAAGTCCCCATAACTCAGTCCTGATTTGCCTTACAATGAAAAACTTCCCCATAAAGTGGTGTACCATGTAGGCCTGCACATGTACATGTACACAATCTTGTTACTGTTCGA